AAAGAGGGAAGGAAGGAAGGAAGGAAGGAAGGAAGGAAGGAAGGAAGGAAGGAAGGAAGGAAGGAAGGAAGGAAGGAAAATGTAAGGCAGTGTTTCCAAGGTCAGAATTACAAGGAGAGGTCAGTAGGCACATGGAACAGGGGACTACATAAAGGAGGAGATTTATTGGGGCTCCTGAGGGGGGAACAATAAGTTAGGACAAATGTGTTTAGCGTTGGTTCCTTAGGATATTGCCAGTTGATCTAATAGGTAAGGGTTGTCCAGAGATGTGTGGTCCCAGGCCTTGGACTGATTAGGGCAACGGAATATTGACCCAGAATGAAGGAGCCCAGCAGAAGAGGTGGAGGGTATAGTCTGGATTTTCTTCCTCCTCCTCCTCCTTTTCTTCTTCTTTTTGAGACAGAGTCTCACTTTAGACAGAGTCTCATTTTATCACCCTCTGTAGAATGCTGTGGCATCACACAGCTCACAGCAACCTCTAACTCCTGGGCTTAGGCAATTCTCCTGTCTCAGCCTCCAGAGTAGTTGTGACTACAGGTGCCCACCATAACACCGACTATTTTTTTTTTTTTTTTGCAGTTTGTCTGGGTCTGGATTTGAATCTGCCACCTTTGGTATATAGGGCCGGCACCCTACCCATTGAGTCAACCTATCTAGGGAGAAGGAGTCAGACTCTGTCTCAAGGAATATAAGTGAAGCCCTATACTCTGGATATTTTAGGGTTCTTATGGAAAGCCTAATTTGAGTCAATAATTCACTATGTGGGCATTTTAGAGTGACTGTAAGATTCTAGGATATCAAGGGGTCAGAGTTATGTAAAAACCAAAGGCTTGATAAATAGAAGATGTAGGGAAACAATTTTCCTATGAGAGAATAATTTCTCTAGTTGAAATCTAATCTAGGGGTAAAATTTCAACACTAGATCTGTGGTTAAAAGTAAAAATGAGGGGAAAGACTCATACTAATTGTTTTCTCCATTTTTATATTGAGACAGAGTCTCATTTTGTTGCCCTTCGCAGAGTGTCCTCGTATCATAGCTCACAGAAATCTTCAATTGTTGTCATCAAGAGAACCTGTTCCTTTAGCTGGGATTCCAGGTGCCTGCATAACATCTGACCATTTTTTATCTTCAGAGCTGGAGATCTCACTTGTGCTCAGGCTGGTCTCCAATTCAGAAGCTCAGACAATTCAACTGACCGGTTCTCCCAAAGAGCCAAGATCACAGGCATGAAGCACTACTGGTAGTCACCAACCATAGTTTGAAAAATATCCCACCTTCAAGGTCTGGAGTGGTGGCTCACACCTGTAATCCTAACACTCTGAGAGGCATAAGCAGGTGGTCCAATGTAACTGGGCACTATGGGGTGGGGGAGGATGGACTCCCCGATGCTCAGGAGGCTGAAAAAATAGGACATGTTGAGCCTATGAGTTTGAGATTGCAGGTAGCTATGATGACATCAGGACACACTATCCAGGGGGAAGGAGTCAGACTCTGTCTCAAGGAAAAAGAAAATGACAACTTCAGTAGGATGGAGCAATGTTCCTTCCATGTCAATTCATAGTAGACTGTGTGAGCAGGGAGATAAGGTTGACTGTTTCTAAAGTACTCTCACAACCTCGGTATTTCTGATGCTGTAAGCCTTTCGAGCACCTCAAGTTTTGGAAAAGATTGTCAAGTAGCTTCATTGAAATAGGTAGTTCACCCTTTGAAAGTACACAGTTCTGTGTTTCTTAGTATAGTCATAGAATTGTATGGCTATTATCACAATCTAATTTAAGAATTTTGTCTTCACACCTCGCACAAAGAACATCACTTTCATCTTCCCATCCAACCTCACCCACCTGCCCTCTGCTCCTAGCAGACAATTGGCCTTGATGTTTTCTTCTAAGTTCAGTCATGCTCTGTGTGGTCTTTTGTAAGTAGTCTTTTTCCTTTATCATAATGGTTTTAAGGTTCATTCCTATTGTAACATAAATTTGCACTTCATTCCTTTTGATTGTTGAAAAATATTCCACCATGTGAATATAGCATGTTATTTGTATCTGATCATCTGTAAATCCCATTAGTAGTCCTGAAGACTTTCCCTTCTCATCTAAGATTATTGAAAGATTTTATCAACAAGATATGTTGCCTCTTTCAAAAGCCCTTTCTTTGTCTCTTGAGGTGACCATGTTGTTTTTCTTATTGATTCTATTAATGTAGTGTGTTTTATTAGTTTATTTTCCCATATTAAGCTAGACTTGCAATCCTGGTAATAAATACCATTTGGTATACATGTAGAAAATATTTTGTATGCTATCAGACTTTTCCTGAACCTATAGGGCATATCTCTTATAGATTTGATACTGTGTTTCCCCCTTCGCTCCAGAAAAATACATTGGTACAATCATATCTCAAGGAAATGAAAGCTTTTAACCTCACTTTATCCTCCTGAGTTTGTGCTTCTCAGCAGCTGAGAGTATAGGCGCATACCACCACTGCTGGGGAAGTTTTACACTTATTTCTTGGAGAATTGGGGTCTCAGTCTGGTCTGAAACACCAGATCTTCCAGTGATCTTTCTGCCTCGGCCTCAGAAAATACTGGGATTATGGGTGTTAGCTATGGTGTCCATTCATGCTTATGATTTGGTGAAGGTTTTTCATTATTTTCCTCATAGATAACTGCCCGAGGATTAAAGAAAACATCTCTAGCCACCTAGAGGAGGCACCTGAGCTGGAGAGAGCCATAGCAGGTCCAGCCTCATCCGTCTGTACAAAGTTCCCTGTTGGTGGCGCCTCAGAGCTGCCCGGCTGCCAGATGCTCGCATCCTGGCTGCTGTGGGCCTGGCTGTGCTTTTAGTGTCTAGCTCAGGCCTCCGGAAAGAACAGCGGGGGTGACAGGGGCCTCAGGTCCCATGGAGACCGAGCAGCTGGAGGACGAGATGGCAGCGGCACGGAGGAGGATGGGGGCTAACCAGTTAGTGGTGCTCAATGTGTACGACATGTACTGGATGAACGAATACACCTCACCCATAGGAATTGGAGTTTTTCATTCAGGAATTGAAGTATATGGCAGAGAATTTGCTTATGGTGGCCATCCTTACCCCTTTTCTGGAATATTTGAAATTTCACCAGGAAATGCTTCTGAACTAGGAGAAACATTTAAATTTAAAGAAGCTGTTGTTTTAGGGAGCACTGACTTTCCAGAAGATGATATAGAACGAATTGTAGAAGAACTGGGGAAAGAATATAAAGGCAATGCTTATCATTTGATGCATAAAAACTGTAATCACTTTTCTTCAGCTTTATCAGAAATTCTTTGTGGGAAAGAGATTCCTCGCTGGATCAACCGACTTGCCTACTTCAGCTCCTGTATACCTTTTCTGCAGAGCTGCCTCCCAAAGGAGTGGCTCACTCCCAATGCCCTGCAGTCTAGTGTTAGCCAAGAGCTCCAGGATGAACTGGAGGAAGAAGAGGAAGCTGCCACATCTGCTTCCATGGTGAGAGCTGCGGCAGGCTCCAGACCCAGGCACCACACTAAACTATAAATGTCTCCAAAGTCAAACTTTCAAAACTGTCTCTGGCAGTTGAATATAAATAGAGAAAAGTAAACAGAGTAAGCGTCCTTTGGATATTTTGTATGCAAAGTTAGCTCTCCCCCAAATCCCAGTTTTTCAGTTCAGGATTATATTTGTAATCAAAATGATGGCTTGGTGCAGGAGGGCAAACTTTTTATTAAGCTGCCCTCTGTTTTTTTACTCACTTGTAAATTTTGATTTACTTCTTCTGTTTTATACAAGCTCTGTTAAGTTATGTTTACAGTATTTTGTATTACTGTTTACAAATCATTCATGGACTCCTGTCACCGTGAAAGAAAATCTAATGTCTTCAAAACTTAGAAAGTTATTCTTTGTAGACTTCTGACAATTGCCAGAGCTACAGCATAAATATTAGGCACATAAAAACTTAAAATAATGACACAGTCATCATTACCTGCTCAAGAAAGTAGAAGATTTGTTTTTGTTTTCTTAACGTTGTGGGCACCAGGATGCAGAGAACCAAAGTGTCCCGAGTTGAAGGAGGATGCGCAGCATGAGGGCTTGGGACCCTAAGTCTAGTTCTTCTCCATGCTCCCTCACACTCTGAGTAGCATATATCCCAAGGTGTCCATGGAAGATTAGTTTTACCCAAATATCTATCCAACTAGGTGGGTGGTATATTGTCTTTCTGGCTTTGCTGCCTTTCGGTCTACAATTGAGATATTTTTTGTTAAAGATACTTTTGTGACTGAAAAGTGTTTTTGCACATGTTTTCATGGAGGGGCTTCATTTTTATTTACTACACACTGATTTCCTCCCTGAACAAGATTTTGTTGGTGGTATAGGAATATTCCTATGTGGTAACCTTCTTAGTTACAGTATAAGTTGACATTTCACTGCCTTTAAATATTCAGGCTACCTTTCTTATGCTAGACATTGAAAAACAGAGTCTGAAATAACACACCCTAAAAAGGTGATTCTTTCATAAAAGAGTATGTTGGAGTTCATTAAAAAAATAAAATTAAAAAAATAACAAATCTGTTCAGATATAATTCACATATTCCACACTTCACCCATTTCAATTATAGAGTTCAAGACTACACATTCAGGGATTACTTGTATACTTTGTTTGTTTATTATTAGAGAAGTTTCCCTTAAGGTGTAGAAGAGAGAGAGAGGAGAAATAAATCGATGAGGAAAGAAAAGTATGGGGAGAGCAAGCCAATGAGAGGGATAGAATTGGAGGAAGGAAGGACAAAGTGAGGGAGCAGGGAAGGGAAGGAGAGAAGGAGGGAAACAAAGACAGAAAAATGACAAAATTTAGAGGCTCAGACCATAATCCCAGTCCTCTGGCAGGCGGAGATGAGTGGAGTTCTTGAAGGAAAGGGTGCTAGAATGGACTGAGAAAGAGTCAGACACTGTCTCTACTAAAAAGGGAAAAATTATCTAGGCATTGTGACAGATCCCTATAGTGCTAGCCATATGGGAGTATCAGGCAGGAGGAATGACAGAATCCTGCAGAGTGAGGTTGCTATGATCTAAGATGAGGCCATGAAAGACTAGCCTGGGTCACATACAGAAACCATATCTCAAAAATACACATACACACACACACATGCACAGACAAACCAACAAACATTTTCATCACCTAAAAAGACCAGAATTACCTTGTTGGTTCAACCAAAGTAGACATGTTTAAGATCTGTGAAGCTTTGACCAAATTGAGGCTGTAGCCAGGCATAGTAAATTTGTAAGCTTCTCTCAAATGGATTTCTTGGGTGTAGGTGTCAAACAGGTGTTTGAAATAGTGCCTCTTGGGAGATGCCTGCTGGTCAGTGGGTGGGAAAACCACCCCATATAATGAGGGTGGTGAGTTCGAAGCCAGCATTGGCAATACTGCATGAAAATATAGTTAGGCAATGTGGTGGGCAGGACTACATCATTTATATGTTCTGGGAGGTCAGGGTGGGCGGATTCCCTGGGCTCACGTGTTGGAGACATGGCTGAGCAACAGCGAGACACCCACAGCCCTGATCTCCAACCTTGTTTCTACTGAAATATAAATGTTATTCAAGTGTTGTGGCCCTTGCCCTTAGTTCCAGCTACTCCAGAGGCTGAGGCAGGAGGATCCCTTCTACCCAAGAGTTGGATGTTGCTGTGTGGTAGGCTGAGGCCATGACAATGTAGCTTGGGGAAAAGAGTGAGACTCTATCACATGAAAAATAATGAAAGAAAGAAACAAACAAAAAGAACAGAACAGAAAGGAAAGAAAAGGAAAGGAAAGGAGAAAAGAAAAGAAAAGAAAAGAAAAGAAAAGAAAAGAAAAGAAAAGAAAAGAAAAGAAAAGAAAAGAAAAGATTTCCTAGGCAGTTTTCAAGAGCAAAAGTATGAGGAGGGGTCAGGAGGCAGATGGAGTATGAGACTACATAAAGGAGATTTATTTTGCCCCCCAGGGTGATGGAACAGTGAGTCAGGACAAGTGTGTTTAGGGCTGGTTCCTTAGGATATTGCCAGTTAACCTGATGAGCAGGGGTTGCCCAGAGAGGTCTGGTCCCTGCTCTCAGACTGATTGGGGAATGGGAATATTGGCCCAGATTGAAGAGCACATTAGAATGGGTGGTGGGTATACGGTGCAATTTTCAGTGTGCATACGAGAAGCCTGATTTGAGCCAAGAATTCACAGTGTGGGCAGTTTAAAGTGACTACAAGAATCTAGGATTTCAAATGCTCAGAGTTATGTAAAATCCAATGGCTTGACTAATACAGGTTTTAGTAAATAAATTTTTCTATGAGAGAATAACTTCTCTACTTGACATGTAATCTAGGGTTAAAATTTCAGCACTAGATCCATGGTGAAAAATAAAAATGGTGGTAAGTCCCATACCAATGGTATTCTGTATTTATGTATTGAGACAGAGTCTCGGTTTGTTGCCCTTGGTAGAGTGACTTAGTATCACAGCTCACAGCAAACTTCAAGTGTTGTCATCAAGTGAAACTATTCCCTGAGCTGGGACCCCAGGTGCCTGCATTACACTACCCATTTTTTTAATCTTCAGACATGGGGAACTCATTAGTCCTCAGGCTGATCTTCAGTTCAGAAACTCAGACAATCCAACTGACTGGGCCTCCCAGAGTTCCAAAATGGCAGGCATGAAGCAACACTATTGGCCACCAACCATAGTTTGAAAAATATGCCAACTTCAAGGTCTGGAGTGGTAGATCAAACCTGTAATCCTAACAATATGGGAAGCAGAAACAGTTGGTCATAAGTAACTGAGCACTTTGGCATAGCACCTGGACTCCAAGATGCTCAGGAAGCTGAGGCAATAGGATCTGTTGATCCCTGGAGTTTAAGATTGTGGTTAGCTATGATTATGTCAGGGCACTCTACCCAAGGGGAAGGAGTCAGACTTTGTCTAAAGGAGAAAGAAAATGACAACTTCAATAGAATGGAACAATGTGCCTTCGATATCAATTCATGGTAACCTGCTTGTGAGCAGGGAGATAGCGTTGAAGGTCCCTCAAGTATTCTCGTGACCAGGGTACATCTTATGCTGTGAGCCTTTTGAGCACCTCAAGTTTTGGAAAACATCATCAAGTAGCTTCACTGAAATAAGTAGTTCACCCTCTGAATGTGTAGAATTCTGTGTTTCTTAGTATAGTCATATAATTGTACAGCTATCATCACGATCTAATTTTAGAACTTTGTCTTCTCCTCACACATGAAGAATGTCAATACCTACTAGCAGTCACCTTCATATTCCCCACCACCCTCCCCTACCTGCTCCCTACTCCTAGTAGACAATTGGCCTTACTTGATGTTTTATTCTGAGTTCAGTCATGCTCTGTGTGGTCTTTTGTAAGTGGCCTTTTCCCCTTATCATAATGATTTTAAGGTTCATTCTTACTGTAACATAAATGTACACTTCATTCCTTGTGATTGTTGAAAAATATTCCATCATGTGAATATAGAATGTTATAATTATCCGGTCATCTGTAAATCCCATTAGTAGTCCTGAGGATTTTCCCTTCTCATCTAAGATTTAAAAAGATTTTATCAACCAGATATGTTACCTTTGTTAAAGGCCTTTTCTGTGTCTCCTTAGGCTACCAAGAGATTTTTCTTATTGATTCTATTATTGTAGAGTGCTCTATTGGTTGATTTTCCCATATTGAGCTCGACTGGCCATCCTGGTAATCAACCCATTTTAGGATACATGTATAATTTTTTTTTTTTTTTTGTGCTGCCAGACTTTTTCTGCTTCTATACAGTATATCTCCTCTAGATTGTATACTGCTCTTTCCACTTTGCCTCAGAAAAATATATTGGTACCATTATAGGTCAATGAAACGCAAGCTGCTAAACTCACATGATCTTCCTGACTTTATCCTACTCAGCAGCTGAGAGTACAGATATATGCCACCACTGCTGGGGAAGTTTTGCACTTATTTCTTGGACAAATGGGGTCTTTCTATGTTGCTCAGTCTTGTCTGATACCTTTTAGCTTACAATAATATTTTTGCCTCTGCTTCTGAAATTGGTGGGAATGTAGGTGTGAACTATTGTCCTTATCCATGGTTTTGATTTGCTGAAGGTTTTTCTCTATTGTCCTTATACGTTACAGCTCATAGCTTAAAAAATAACAGCTCTATTCAGATATAATTCACCCACTCCACAATTCCCCCACTTCAAATATAGAGGTCAAGTCTATACATGCAGGGATTACTTGTATAGTTTGTTTTATGTTACTAGAGAGGTTTCCCCCAAGGTGTAGAGTTGAGTGGTAAAAGAAAGAAAGGAAAGAAGGAAAGATAAAAATGGAGAGAGCAAGGGTATGAGAGAGAGAGAATTGGAAGAATGAAGTAAAAATTGAAGGAGGGGTGAAATGAAGGAGGGAGGGAAATAAAGAAAAAGAAAATGACCAAACTTTGTGATTCACACCTATAATCCTAGTCCTCTGGAAGGCTGAGATCAGTAGATTTCTTGAAAAAAAAAAGGTGGTACTGAG